ATTCTTACAAATAAAGACCTTAATTTATTAATAGTCTCAGTTTTCTGTGATTGCAAATGAAAGGCATCCGCAGAGTTGCAGCACAGGCCTTGGTGTGAGTATGTACTAAATGTGGCACCACATTTGCCCAGTAATATTCAAGGGAACAAGGGAAAAGGGAAATGAGAAGATTTTGAGGTGGACTTTGTAGCGGCTTATAAGACCACAATAAAGAACCTTGCAGTTTCAGTTAATAACTTAAATAATTTTATCAGTAATGAAACATATAGTCAATGAAACTGACAGTCTCTTAAAAAACACAAATGTTTTATGCTCACAATAAGCATATATTAATATATAGCAGTGGAGTGAAGTGTTTAAAACTGAAAACTACACTACAGAACATGAACTACAAATCCTAACCATCGATATTCAAATTATTATAAAAAGCTCCCTCCATTATGGCCTAAATTTCCAAGAAAGTCATTGCTATTATTACTGTGCATGTTTGGTCACTGATGATCATCAGTACAAACCGTATAGTTGAGGCCAGCTGGTTGCTGGTGGAATCAACAAAGCGAGGTGTTTGGCTAAGATGGACTGATAGATAGAAAGAAACCAAAGAAAGAGTGGAGAGAACAGTCATTTGGCTGACAGGCCTAAGGCAATGAGCAATGCAAGGCCTGAGCCACTATGATCAGAGAGCACGCACATGATAAGTCTATAAATAGAAACATGCAGCGGGAGGGACAAAGGCTATTTTCCTTCATATGATGCAAAAGGATGGTTGAATTTCTGTACTGTAATGAGCACTTTAGAACATGACCTGCTATCATTGCATTTCTTTCCCATGTGGCTCAATGACATAAAACACATGAACACAATGGTATTTTTATATTTAAACAAAATATCACTTTGATTAGATTGCTAAACACATGTCACCAGGCAGGGTTTTGAAATGTTGACACACCAATATTTTTGTCAGTGGTAGAAAATGTGTCTATAAAAAAAAAATAATTCATGCATGCTGCAAACACTACAGCACAACACATACCATTAATGCTAAGTTTATAGGGAAAGATCGGGCATTTTTATGGTTGTGAAAATGCTCCTGCTGATCAAAAGGATTGTGTTGATTTTTTTCTGGGTTTAAAAATTTGTATACATGGCAGTGGTTCAGTTTCCATTTTCAAATATATTTTAAATGTGACACAGGCTGAAATCCTAAAGGTTGAAGTAGATTAACAAAACCAGGTGTTATTTTTTTAATTCTTTTACATTCTTGAAGGAACAGAAAGGGTTGAGTTTTTCTTTCGTGTCAGCTTGATCAGCATTCATTAACCAAACCATCCAATTTTTTATAAGAACTCTCAGCTAAAGCTATCACTGCAACTGTGATGACTGTCAAACCATGTCACTGAATGAGCAAAAGATAGCAGCAAAGAAGCCACTTTAGTAAGAGAGGAAACAGGACTTCTAAAACAGGGTGCCGGGTGAACAAGAGCAACAACCTCAGAAATTATAACATGCACAAATTGATGAATGCTTTCTTACAGAAAAGATCCATGTAGGGTCAGGGTCAGCTTTCTCACAGGCATTTGCTTGATAGTGTCAAACTCCCGTGAGGTCAAATGAATGCTCACACAGCAAAATTTGAAGGGACAAACACACCATGTGGCTCCATAAAGTTCTGGCCTCCTGCAATCTGAAACAAGCTACAGATGTACAAAGTTCAGTGGCAGAGTGAACTGACATCACTGCATACGTTGGCATATCATGATAAGTGTACAGGTGGCATAACTTCTTATAATTACCCCAGGAATAGTCATGAGGAGTAGCCCAGACAATGCATCAGGCTTGACCAGAAAAGCAATAGCTTAGTTGTTGTGAAACACTTGCACTGTACATGCGTCTGGGTTATATTTTCACTATGACTGTACACCGGCTGCACATTAAACAAGGATGTAGTGAGGCTAATTTCGTCTCTTGTTTACTGTGTCTTCACATCACCACAAAGAACGTACATGGAGGCAGCAGAGCAAATAATATACCCCTGTGAAAAGCTATCAAACCTCCTCATAAATAAATCATCATATTCTATCAAGCTTAAACAGTGGTACAAAAATGAAAAAAAATCTCCCCCTTTCTGATCTGTAATATAATATGATTTAAAATTGCATGGGAGGAGAGATCATTAATCATTTCACTGGCAAGCAGCCTAGCCTCGTAAGTGGGTATTAAAAGGGCAAACAAAAGATAGCTAGCACAACATAGAAACCATCCACATGATCTTTGTCTGCTTCTCGGCAACAATGAATTTGTGAGTTACAAAAGAAAACAGTATTATTACGCTGAAATGGATAATACATACATACATGCAAATCGAAGGCAGCCAAAAAACAGGAAATAAAAGCTCTTTATATACATAAATTCATAAACAGTTTCATTTGCAGCTGAATGTGGTTTCTGCTTGGCTTCAGCTGGGAGGACCAAATATAATCACAATTTTTGTAAACGTCAAACCATACACAATCACCTGCATCCTGAAGATCTTGTAAAATTGTGAGTGGACTGAAATTTTTTCTCTATTTTTTTTTTTTTTCTTGACACACAATTAACATTCACTCAGATGCCAGTTCATTAGGTACACCAAGCTGAAGCTAATGCAGTACAATACAGTACTGCAATAAATCCTACTTTTATGACATTGATAATCTTCAGTTTTTGGTGAAACTGTTTTAGTGAGGTGTTGATTCCACTTCATGACATTTTGGGGGCTGCAGTTTGTGGTGCTGATGTGTTGTGTTGTGGTAAGAGCAAGAAGGATTTCTTTTATTTTGCACAACCAATCATCAGTAAGGGTAGACTAAACATTAGAAACACCTCTGAGTATAACACATTCATTTTTTGCTTGATGTAAATGAACTGGCAACTAAGTGTACGTGCAAACAACATACTTCATTCAGTCTTTTCACAATGTGTTGTATACAAATGCATACAGTACCTAAGCACCACCAGTATAGTCTCATTGTGTGTGGCTGCTAGTGGCAATCATACACAACTTGACAGATTTTAGGTAATTTTTTAATTTGCACACCCCTCATGCAAACTTGTTCACATGCACAAAAGCTGACAGCAACTATTTGTGGTGTCTAAAATCTTGCAATCTATGATAAAGTGTTTGTAGAACAGGCCCCGTGAGGATCCCGTGTGACACTTATCACCAAGAAACTGCAAACAAAAACAATGTTTGTGGCTCTAGTCCTCAAGGGCCTTTTTCCTCATCATTCACATTAAGAGTCACTTACCTCATCCTGACGCCTCTGTGATTTCTGCAGAATGTAGTCCAACAATTGGAGGCACAAACATCTGTTAGTGACATCAACTGCCTGCCTGCCATGCAGACCAACCCACACTTATCCTCTGCAAGCACTCCTGCTGAGATATTCATAACTCTTCCATTACATTGAGTGACACTTTGTTCATGCCCACAATTCAGCTGCTTGCATATTACACATGTGAGGGTTCTCTGTGATTATTAATTAAACAACATTAGGCCACATTCTGATGGGATTTGCCCTGTGAAAAAAAGCACTAGTATTGAGTCTGAAGCCTGCTCTCAGCAACCAGAGGTGTACACTCAATTCACGAGTCACACTTCAGTCAGACTTGAGTCATGAATCTGATGACATTAGACGTAATATGACAAAATAAAAACATACTGACAAACAGACTTTGACTGTAACACCAATGAATTACTTCACTTGGAATTTAGCCTTTCCGGAAGCCCATGAACTAAAAATAACAATATTTTTTATATTTTGTCTGTTGTCATTTCCCTAACAATGGATATGACAGCAGGAGGGAAATGGCTTTTTTTGGCATTGCAAACAAGCAGACAGACAACAGGTAAATCCTTGGGTTATCACATTTGAATGTAAAGACTGACAGGTTGACAAAAAACAGACGGCAATGTGCAAAACGGCATCACAATATTCCATTGCCAGAGTTGACTTGTTTTGCTTGACCGACCTATATACATTCACATTTGAGAAGCTGGAAACAGAATGAATTGAAATTGAAATGAATTCTCTGTCAATCATCCCATTAATCAACTAATTGTTTCAGCTCTGTGTCACAGGAATAACATACCAAGGCACACCTAAAAATTTAAATGTTGGGTACATATGACTTGTCTAGGAATCGAAGCACAAAGCTTAAGGACTTGGGCTTCACTTCAAAGCCACAACTTGAGACTTGTTTGTTGTGACCTGCAGAACAATGACTTTATCCCAGCTCTGTCTGTTGTTGTATTAAAAGAACGTTCTCATTACAGCTATGCCACTACCTCTATTCAAACTGCTTTTTAAAATGAAGTGGGTGATCTTTAGACTTTTAAAGGGAAAAAGTTTTACATGTTCACAGTATTTTTTTCAGCACCATGCAAACAGCTCTGCAGCTCATTTTATATCTTCAAAACTCATAAAACAATTCCGTTTCTGCAGCCTCATATAAGACTTTCATAATGACTTGAACAGGAAGTGAACACAGAACACAAACCCTGTGAGTAATTCTGCAGTATCACACTCTTATGGGAAACAGCTGAGGTAGGCTTGTTGACTGAATGGCCGTTGAGTGTCACTTACTTCACAGTCTAAATTAAAAAAGCATACGTTATATTAAATTAAGCAACAAAAACAACATCCCAAGCAAAGCTATAGAAGCTATTTAGGTTCCTTGCCCCAAGTTCAACTACCACACACGACCAGAATTCATCCCAGCCAATCAGAGGCCGCTTGAATACATGTCAAACCAATCAGCTACGGAGGGGGCGGCAACTCGGACTGTTGCTAGGGTATGTCCCTGATGACTTTTACTCCGTAGAGCCAATCAAATCCCACCTCATCGTCTTCAGCCTGCTCATAGGCTAATACATGCACGGAGAGCCCTCCCTTTGGCTTTTCTTATTGGCCAGAGGTCCGATCACTCACTTCCTCGAGTTTTAGTAAGGTGCTGTTGATAGTGTAGTTTGGAGTCACCAAGACTCAGAACTGAGAATAGCAGGCGCACATTCATCGCCCTGAAACAGTTTTTTAACTCTCCATTCCAATATTTCATGATTTGTATATTTGTGTAAATAGATTACTTCTATTTTTATAACGAGACAACAACAAGATGGAACTTAATTCTCTCTTAATTCTGCTGGAGGCTGCAGAGTACTTGGAAAGAAGAGACAGAGGTATTTCAAGCTAAACTGACAAGTTGACAGGATTTCCAGGCTTAATGATTTGTTTGTGAATGGAGCATTAGGACGGCAGCTGGCTTAACTTTATGTCAGATGTGAAGTTTTAACGTGTCCTGCCATAGTGCAGGTATGATGTCACTTTACAGACAATGGGACCAGGCGATGGGTGCAAACTGTACCTGGTAGCCTTAGCTATGTTATTACTAAGTGTGTCATGTATTTATAAACTGTGATCGCAGTGTTTTCTAATACAGGTCATGTGTTGTAGTATATACTCGGGAAACCACTTTGTTTCTGCATTAGCTCTTCGGGAATGAGTAAACAAGAGTGACATTGAAAATATGAGCCAGTATCGTAATGACATGTACTCATAAATGTCCATGTAGCATTCAATGTTTGAAATATAGAGCTTGCTGAAGGCTATACAGTGCTATATGTGTATAGGGGCGATTACATTTATGATCGATCACGTTTTGTTCCTCCTGAAATGACATTTAGGCTCTACAGCTATTTCATGTTTCACCATTTCCCTAAGCGCCTCATTGACAGCTTATTCGTTTTTTAATTCTTGCAGACGTCACAGTAAATTAACAATCTATTTTTGTTTTCTCTCAATAGAGGCAGAACACGGTTATGCGTCTGTTTTACCATACAGTAGCGACTTTTCCAGAAAGAAAACGAAAACCTCGCCTATTTCCAGAAAAACTCAGAACAATAGGTAAATATAAGTCCTGCTTTTTTATGTGTTCATTTGTTTGTGTTATGTGCAAGTTTAAGAAACACAAATAGTGGAGGAGAGCTGTTTTCATGCACACTGCCATCTTTCTGCTGCCTGGGCTGGGCTCTCTTGTTTTGGTCTCTCCCAATAAACACTGCCACGCGTACACTGTCAACTCTGCTGCTCCAACTCTCTCTCTGTTTCACACACACACACACACACACACTTAAAACCCTCCCCAAGCTGAGACAAAACACACCCGACATGCACATAACCTTTCGTTTCTGCACCCTGCCTCAAACGGCTATCGTGCTGTCACTGTGAAATGGCGTTTTTTTCATGTGGTTAGTGTGTTTGGTGTGTGTGTCTGATGTTAAATGAAAGTGGCCTTTACCAAAGGGGTCCCCTGTATGGAACCATGGCCCTCCACTTTCTCCACACACATACACACACAGAGTTCATGAAGACACCATAGATCGAGGCTTCTGATCAGACTATTGATTGCTCTCTCCTCAGGAGCTCACCCCTAGTTTGACCTCATTCACATGCTGTCACAGTCTGCATGCTAACACAGACGCTGCAGTGAGGCCAGAAAATGACACACAATTACATTACATAAGTAATTACATTTTAATTTCAGTTTCGGGTTCTGTCTTGCTCTGTGGCCCGGTGGCCTGCAGGTTAGATGGTCATCTAATCGTTAGCAGGTTAACATTTAAAAGGCCTGTTCAGTGGGAGGGCTGCTAATGTCACAGTTATTTTCTTGAAAAATTCAGTGTTTACCTATAAAATGTCAGAAAATAGGGGAAAATACCCAAATTAATTTCCAATCCCTTGTTGTATCTCTCCATCAATCCACCATAGTGGACCTTCACTGTGTTGGTCTAAAAAGAGGGTGCATATTGATTGGATCAATGTGGGACCCTCCCTTATCAGGAATCCCTTTCCTCTTGATGTCATATGACTCAAATTCACTTCTATGTCCAAGGCTACATGCAAATCAATTTTGGCAGGGATATTTGGCCAAGTGTGCAACAGCGAACTCTTTCATCTGGTAACTAATCACCTGATGATTTGTAGTAAATGTGTTGAACTTCTCCAGAAACATTTGCATGATGTGTCTGTCCAGTGTCATTCCCAAGAGTGCTTGCAAATCAAGATCTGAAAAAGCTCACAACATTTCCTGTTGACTAATATTAGTTTAGGGAAGCACAGCGAGCCCGATTTACGTCACTGCACGCACAGCATGTTGGCCCAGTGGTTCCACTATTGTAATTACAATATTTTAGACGTAGAGTTGTGTAGAGTTGAAAGTGATTTCTGTCACGAATGAGAATGTGTTCCCTTCCACATTCCTTAGATATGTCTTGAAGGTGGAGAAACAGCAATTATTAAGTATATATATGTGTGTGTGTGTGTGTGTGTGAGGGTGTGTATGGGGATGTGGCAGGTGGGTGCGGTGGCTAAAACAGACAACTACACACTGTGACAAACACCAGCCCACTAGACTTCATGCACCAGACTTATTCCCCTCCTTTTTCTTGGGACTGCACTGAGGGCAAATACGCCAATTCCCTTTATACTCCCATACCGTTTTTTTAAGCCTCAACAGGATGCTGGGGGTAGTGAAGTAAAAACATGTTTCATGTTTGAACTTCAACCATATATTCAGTTTAACAGAAGCTGGCTGTTACTTAAAAAGCACAATGCGTTGCTTTGTAGTACCAAAAACTGGTGTTATAGCGTTTGATGTCATAATCAAATGTGCAAATTAAAACCAAAAACATGTTTTGCAATGGTGCAAAATTCAGAGCATGTGGGGAAAAAACAGTAGGCAGTCTATTTCTGCACACAAAACGAAGAAACCCTGGTGGAGTTCTCTTCCTATTTTTCTTTTTTTTTTCTTACACTGTTGTTAAATCAAAACGCTGCTAAAACAAAAGAGGGAGACTTTATTTTTGAGAGTTTTTCTGCTTCACCTCTCTGTTACACTAAAAATTAAAAGTATAAATAGCACAGACGACAAGAAAAATCCTACTTAACTTCTTTTGCATCCTTGAATCCCTTCCTGTGAATGTGGGCAGTTTTACATCCCATAAAAAGAGTGATAGCTGGCTAATTTATAAGCCTTTGATCATCAGGGCCAAGTTCATGACGGCGGATCACAGAGTCGTTTGCATGCCACACCATTCTTTTACATAACATGTAAAGCTGGGTGTTAACCTGCTGTTATTACAGGTCTGTGTGCATTCTCTTCCTCTGCAGTCTTGCGTATGACTTCCTGGTCATGCCCTGTATTTTGACTGGCACGTTTTCCCAACTTGTGCAGGTTTGGCACAATTTCCTCCATGGTGGAAGAAAGCTCTGGGTCGGCCTTTTGGATCAGGTTATTAGCTGCAGTGCAACATCCCGTGCTCCTCTTGGCGTGATTTTGTGCAGACACCACGTTATCCCATTCTTTGAGTGGCATCGCCGCTCAGAAGCCTCAGCCTCTTCGGCACAGCTGTGGGAACCACTGCTTCGTGAACACAAGGGCTCTCAAACAGCGGAAAATCTGAAAAGGCTTGTTGTCAGTCCGGCCCTTTGTCGTTGCTGTTTTTGTTTTTATTGCTGCAGTATCCATGGTGGTCTCATGAAGAGAAGGCCTGTGTCAGATGGACCGCAGTGGCCTTGCTGCTCCCCGGCTGCACATCATGATAGGGGCTCTCCTCAGAATAGCCCACACGCTGAGGAATTCTGGAGCGTCTAGGCCTCCAGACTACTGAGTGTGTTTTTCATCCCATGTCCACGCTGCTTTTCAGCCAGCGCGCAACAACAACTGCAGTGTGTGCATGCTGTTTGTATGTGTGTGAGAGGCGGCGGGCGGGGTTGGTGTATGGGTGTTGTGCAGTGTCACCGATATGGCTCTCTCTCTCTGTCTCAGGGTAATTTTTGCCCTCTGACAGATGTCACACACACACACACACACACACACACACACAGGTCTATTTCCAGAATGTGTGATCAAGCCCTTGCATTGCTTGTTTGTGCCCTTAATTTGACTGCAAATCAGAATGAATGTGCAGCTGAAAAGGCTTGTTCTGGGGTATTATAATATTCTCTGTCTGTGGTTAAAACTTTGTTGCGCCACAACAGACAGAGAAAAAGAAGAATTGAGGCCGTTCTTTGATGCCTGACACATTTTTTTCCTAAGAATGTTTCTCAGATCTGCTGTTTCTTCCAAACATGTCTCACAATCAGATCAAAACATTTTCTAACCAGCCTCTCACCTTGGGATCATTCATTACATCACATTCTAACTTGTTATGTGATTTGTCAGTATTTTAGCGCTTGCTGCCCCGACTCATCCTTGTCTTTTTGTCCTTTCAGATCGTCGCACAACGAGCTGGAGAAACACAGGTAAGGTCACATCTGAGGCTCTTTGCCCCCCCCCATTCCCTCCAACACATCGCTCATGTTTGTCTGATTTGCACGCACGTCTTTGCCCAATACCCTTGACTTCCTAACATACCGAGCGAAGGGATGCTGGCTGCAGGTAAAACGTCAGACATTTTCCGCTCAGTCAAAAGAACCAGATCGGATAAGAGGTCATCTTCAAAGAGATCTAATCAATTCATTCCTCCTGTCTGAAAATGGACAATAAGCTGATTTCAAAGAGCACCTTCATGTTGATTAGATCTGTCTCCGTTTCATGGATGAAACGCGTTACCTTGTATGGAAAGGGAATCCTGTCAGTAATGTGATAATCCTGCCCAGACTGACGCTGTGAGCGGAGGCGGGGTGAATTCCGGGGGGGGGATTTGTTGCTTTTTTTTGCATCAAAGTCACCCAAAAGCTGATTCTTACAAAACTGCAGAGGATTTAGCAAACAGCTGCTGTGACTATCAGCATGTGAGCAGAGGCAGAGATGGGTGTGTTGGGCTGCACGTCACCCGCGTTAAGGGATTGGGGTTTGCCAATCACGTGTCTGTGGAAGTGAGTAATGGATGTGTGTAGAGCGAGAGAGAAACAAGTGCAGACATATTCTTCCCTGAGAGAGAGAGAGAGAGAGAGAGAGAGAGAGAGACTGAGGGCCCTGACCGATTACACTGCAGGTGTTGAGACACAACAGTTACCTCATGTCCGATGATGGGAGTGGTTGGTTACAAATGAAGTGACGTCCACTTAAACTGACAGAATGCCAGTAAAGTGTTCCATAATCAATTTACTCACTTCCCTTATCATCACTGCGGCCACAAGTTTCTAAAAAATCACTTTTACATCCAGTGCAGTGTCATGAACATGTGAGTTCTCCTATTTATTCACCGTTGTGTTGGCCATGATGTAAGCACTCTGACAAATAAATACTAAAAAAATACTTTAAATACTCTGCAAGTCACACTGCACTGTCCCTGGGTGATAAGTGATTCATTAGTTCCTATTTAAAAAGGGCTTTCCTGTTGTCATTTACTTTTATCCACGACTATTTGTACGGAAAGAATTTCAGCCTGCTTTGTAATGACAGGCCCTGCAGTGACGAGGAATCACTGTGAGCCATTGCAACAAAATGCATCCTGATTCAATCCCTGTCTGGACTTGCGGCCTCAAATTACATGGTCATTACTCCAACGTGCATTACAGGTGTTAACCTGTGACTTAAGGCTTTAGTATAATCATCTACAGTGCGTGTGTATGTAGTTTATTATACCTGCTATAATTGTGTAGCTAATACATAGTGCTGAAATTATTAATTGGACAGGTTGCCTACTGGAAAGTAATCGACAACAAGTCATTTATAAAGCAAAAATGCTAAAAATTTGCTAGTTTAAGAGGATTTTCTCACACATATTGGATATCTTTTGATTTTGGGCTATTGGTCGGACAAAACAAGCTCTTTAAGACATCTTACGCTCTTGGACAATAATCAAGAGAGTGATTGAGAGCAAATGCTACTGGAATTCCCAGTGTCCTCTGCTGATCTGTCTGTCTGTTGCTGACTCATAAGAAAACCAAAAGTGTCCAACTGTCCTGTTCAACCAGTTCAATGAGTGTGTGACCAGTTCGGAGCATCCTCCCAGAGCTTCAGCCCTGTCTAATCTTCGGTATCGCTCCCAAAAGCCCTCCCTCACGCCCTCAAACGCCCCTCCGGGGAGGTGCTACTGTTTGAGCCCTGACTCACGGTCTTTGTTTGGTCATGTGTCGGTGTTGACGCTGGTGCAGCACAGAGCCATCCTTGTGCTCAATGTTCACGTGGTAGACAAGGTGACTGATGAATGTCTGGATTAGATGCTGGAGGGCATTAAATGTATTGTGAATAGTGAATTAGTGGTTTATTAATGTTATCTAGCAAGCAGGGCTGACATGCAACTGGAATATCTTGATACCTGATGTTCTGTGGAAAAACCAAGATGAAGGTAGAATGTATTTCTACAAAGCCTATTTTTAAACCAAAGGAGCCAAAGTAAATAACAAAAACATCAACATCAAACATTCAGTACCATCTTTCAATACTTGACTTGACTTTTTGTGCTATTGACACATTTTGGTATGTATGGAAAAAATTATCCAAATCTGTCCATTTTAAGCCAGGGTCAGCATCTAATGTGACAGCTTTTTATTTTTTTTTTGTTTCGCCTAAATTTGTTGCTGTGGACAGCATCAGGCTCACTGGCTGCAGCTTAGTGATCTCATGCGTTCTAGGTGTCTCTGCCTTGGCAGCCGTTCAGGAGGCACCCTGCATATATTTGTGTCCCGTTATCAGAGTGAGACGTCTGGGTAGGTGCCAGCAGTGTCCCACAGGGTCGCCAACCCTTACACAACCTGCTTATCTGCTGCAACCTGAATGTCGCAGTGACAGCTCTGTATAGGCCATCTTGAGGGTGACTTTATTTCTTTCATCATTGCATTGGCGCAGGCCGGGCGCTGCAGAACATCAGCTTGACATTTCCGTGAAACCAAAAGCTACTGTGTGGTCGGCCTCCGCTGGCATTGCTTCCTTCCCATTTCTGACCTCAATAGCTCTTGATCATGGTTATGACGACTCGACCGTGCCGCAGGTTTCCTTTTCTAGAAAGGTTTTGTTTTCCCATGTATCACCTGTTTACAGGAAATCTAACTCCACTTGCGTAAGGCTGGGTATCTGGTGTGTTTGTGCTGCTTCCCTCAATTGCAAAAAGGATTTACAGCTCTATTTTTACCTCTCTAGATACGGACACCGCCCATGGCTGTCAGGTGCTCTTGGTTTCATTTCTGAGATCACTCAGAATGATGCTCCAAGTATTCTCTTACACTATATATCATACCGGAGATAATGAACAACAACTGTGTGCCACCTATTGATCCTAACTTTAAATTTATATGCGCTTCATGGACACAGGAGCAGGCACTCATTTTGTCACGGTCTAATCTTCTCTCTAATTAAATTTACTCTCGCTGTGTCTTCTACTCCCAGCTGTGATGAATGACTTATTTGGCTTTGAGAAACTCTTTCCCCCTGAGTAAAGCTCCTGTGTGTGTGTGTGTGTGTGTGTGTGTGTGTGTCTATGGGCTGGGCCGGGCAGCACCTCTCTCCGAGCAGTTTGAGTTATGGCAGTGTGTCAGTGGGAGGGAGAGCCGCCCACCGCCCTGTTACTTCACCTCATTGCCTTCTACTCTTTGTCTCCTTCGTTCTCCAGAGACCACATCTGTATTCTCTTTTTCTTTCTCCTCCTTATGCTGGCTCTCCTTTTTTCACCCCCTGAAAGTGTCAGCAGAAACCTGAAGTGGAAAGGAGGAGAAATCCAGGGCTCCCTTTTCACAGAGGGCCTTTATCACTCCTTACTGGTCCTCCTGCCAAAACTCATATGAGCCAATTGCTCTTCTTTTGAGGTGTACATCTTCTTTTGTGTCAGTGAGTTTATTTTGAAGGAGGCCAGGCTTTGATGGGCCTGTTAATCCTGTTAATCTGCATTTTAATGATTGTTAACTGCACAGCCATTGTGAATACAACAGAAGTTAAGTTCATATTATGCCCACATCCTGCTTTTTAACAGTTAAATGTCAAATGTTTGTCTCTTAACAAAGCCTTAAGTGTTAAGTCAGAATTCCTTTCAGTTTGGGTTGTAGTGTGGCATTCCCATGCTCACATGATTGCACGTGGCTTTTGTACTTAACTTCCTCAAATGTCCCACTGTCAGTTACATTCCTCGTGTGTGTGACGACCTGGAGTCATTAGCTACAAACCCACAGAAATATATGATGCACTGTACATGGTCTAATTATTAAGCCATGTAGTAATGTACAGCAACAAGTACTGTATATTTAATGTGAAATCAGTGAATGTTGACCTCACATTACTGTGTATTTCAGTGCCACATGGGTAAATGTAATTTTTTTATTGCGATGTAAATATATGTAGGACTGCAGCTAACGATTATTTTCATTATTGATTAATCTGCCAATTATTTTCTTGAGTAATTGTTTTGTTTGTTTAAGGTCCAGTTTGTATTTAGTGGCGTTCTAGCGGTGAGGTTGCAGATTTCAACCAACTGAATACCGCTTGCTTCACCCCTCCCCTCCCAAGCGTGTAGCAGAACCCACGGTGGCCGCGAAACTCGCGAAAAACACGAAAGGTCGTCTCTAGAGCCAGTGCTTGGTTCGAAATATGGCAGTGCAACATGGCGGACTCCGTGGAAGAGGACCCGCTCCCTCTGTAGATATAAAGGGCTCATTCTAAGGTAACGAAAACACAATTCCCATTTTCAGGTGATCATGCACTAATGAAACATCCTTATCAGAATCAGAAGAATCAGAAGGAGCTTTATTGCCAAGTAGTGTTTTATACATACGAGGAATTTGCTGTGGTGATAAGGTCACGTAGACAAACATACATTTGATATAAATAAATGTAGAAATATATAAATATGGAATGGAAGAACAACGTTGCAGATATATACATGTGCATTATTCTGGGTCTGTGCCGTGCAGAAGTAACGTAACAAAATGAATATTATATAATATATAATAATATAATATATTCCATTTCTGCCATATTCCAGATCCCCCTAAATGTTGCACACTGGACCTTTAAGTGTCAGAAAGTAGTGAAAAATATCCATCAAAATGTCCCAGAGCCCAAGCTCACTTTTTCAAATGGATTTTCAGTTCACTATCACATAAGACTTGCAGAAAGAAAATGCAGAAAATCCTCATAATTGAGAAGCTACAACTAGGGAGCGTTTGGCATTTTTTACTTGAAAACTTAAAATTACTTAAATGAGCGATAAACTAAATAGTTGACAATTAATATTTTGTCAATCGACTATTTGTTTCAGCTTTGAACTTATGTAGTAGTTTTTCAATCGAGACCCTTTTGTTAATAAAATAACCAGATTGGAAAAAAAATTAAGGTATTCAGACAAGGGATATCTTTGTTGGTTTTC